TGTGTGTGTGTGTGTGTGTGTGTGTGTGTGTGTGTGTGTGTGTGTGTGTGTGTATCAATTATTGTAAGGAATGTAAGAAATATTTTCATGTGATTCCATTTGATTTTCACTGGTATTTTATATATAGAGGGAGGACTTCTAATATTCAGTTTAGAGAGAAAGAAATTGAGATTACACACAATTTACTGACTCTTGTCACCATCCCCCCCCCCCCCCCACATCCGTCCACCTCTCCATCCATCCACATACCCGTCCGTGTACTCATCCATCCACCCACCCACCCAGGAAATAACCTAGTGACTCTTTCCTTAGCCCCCTACCCACCCCTTCTGTCCTGTGCCTTATGTGTTCCTTAGCCAACATCCCCAGCCTCCTTGGCTCCTGGGTCCTGTTGGGAGCCCCCAGTGGAAGGCTCTGGGAAGAGACTGAAGGTAAGGAGAGAGCCCCACAATTACACTACCTTTTCTAGGAAAAGTGGGGACTGGAATGTGTAAAGCTCAAGGGAGCAGATAGGAGAGGGAAAGTCATTCCTACACACTCCTGGTAATTTCTGGTACCAATGGGCCACAGGTCAAGCAGGCTGAGTCCAGGGACTGTCCTTGATGGGCACCAGACGCCAGCATCTGCCTCTACCTGGAAACTTCACGTGGAACAGACTCCTGCTGAGAACTGTGAATAGTATTACATCTTAAAATATACTAAAATAATCACACTATGAACACCATTTCCTGGCCGAGGTAGCAAACTCATGTAAGCCAGTGTTCTTCATCATGTCATTGCCGTTTACTTCGTCATGTCATTGGACAGTTTCTAAAGCTGCTGGACAGAGACTGCGCCGTGACTCTGCACGTCGAGACAGGCATCATTTGTGTGTGTGTGATGCACTGCTGGTGTAGGAGGCTTGTCTGAACTCAAAAACACATTGCAGGATCTGGAGTTTACTTTTGCTCTTCTAACGTAGAACATATACTTCAAATACCTCTCCCAGTTCAAGGCATTGTGCAAACTGCCTCTTCATCTCTCATCCTTGCTCCCAGTCCTTTTCCTTTTTCTGCTTAATTCCAAATTCTTGCCTTTTCCATTGATTCCGAGCCTCCCCAGGAGAGGTTTTCATCTATGTCTCTGGCACTATTTTTGAATCAATTTCTTTACCATTTAGGCCAAGAATGAGTATAAAAACATGAGGGTCAAAGAAGCATGCTCCATCCCGTCAGTAGGTAATGAACAGCGATCACAGTCGTAAGTATGATCAGGTCACATGACTCACTTTTCACGGGAGCATTTCTGTTTAAAAAAAAACAAAAAAAGGAAGAGGAAGCTTTCTTCCGTAAATCATCGTATGTTTTGAGTTATTCCTTGAACTTTCTGAGGTACATGTTAGCCTCATCTGTACACAGACACCTCTGTTCCATTACCCAAGTGATGCACAGTGGATGGGAGGAAAGCAAACCCAGGACATTCGGGTTTGTATCTTACAGGTCAGTTAACATAAAAATGAAAGTAGGGGAGACATGATGTATGCGTTACCATTTAAAGCAATATAAACTTTGAATGTTGAAGCAGCACTAATTAGCTTAGGTTATTAATAAGATGAAATCATAGACTCCTAGGGTCCGCATCAACCTTATACGCCACAGAGTCTACTTTGTTGCCTAACTTTGGAAATCCCTTGGGTGTCATCGCTCACAAGGAACAAGTCCCTGCGACGCCGTTTTCTGCGCACGTACATGTCTTCTGTTTTATTTGATCCTTCACAACACCCGTGGCCGCAGCTGTCATTATCCCCTTTGTGCACTGGTGGCTCCTGGTCAGGTATTGTTCCCACAGGGGTGAGCTCACTCCTCCGCAAGACAAGCTGGGTGAAATTTCTGAGGGCAGAGTCCTCATCTCATCAGTATGGAGTGGCCTGTTAGGGCCTTGTTTGGCTCCCAGTACCTTCAGGTTGAATGGAACAGCCCCAACTACCTGTTCAACCAGAGCTCTCACTGTGACTCCCTGGCCCCGGTGCCCCTCCCCGGCATGAACCACTGGCATCTTCATTTCTCCAAATCAGGTACCCTCAGTTGTCTTAGCCATCTTTTTCTAGATATCGTCCCACTTGTCACTGTGTCTTTTCAAGTTTTCACACCGCAAATTGAAGGGAGAGATCTTGTGAATGGGCACCTCTTAAAATGTAAAAATAGTATTAAGTCCTCTAGCAGTTGACTCTGTTAAGTCCTCTAAATCAAAGACTGCTGAGATCTACATCTTGTCCCTCCCTTATACCTATACGGATTTTTTGTTAAACCTCAACACGCAATGTTGCGTTGATAGTTGACCTGTCCCCCCCCGGGACGGCTCCCTTGGGAGTAGTGCATTTCCTCTCACTGGACATGTTTCGCTGCTGGCTGGCTGATCTTTTGTGGGAGATACAGAACAGAACCAGTATTCTGAGGGCTGTGGATGCCCTTTCAAGTCTGGGAAATAGTGAGTCTACATCCATTTGGTTGACTTGGGCCTGTTCTTCTAAGTTGAAATGACTTTGAAACCTCTCCCTGCCCACCTTGCATTTAGTATTTTAGCTCTCTCCTGCAACTTTTCCATTTTTGCCAGATATTAAGTAAGACAGGTTAAAGGAAAAGGCTCTGAGATGTGATCCCAGAGACTTCCATCTAACTGGGTCCTAATTTGTTAACCAGTAGCTAAAAAACCACCTAACTGTCCTACCTCTAGTCCTTCTTTCTCAGTATCACAGCTACATCAGCAAATTCCTTGTGAAATTCCTACTCCAAACCAAGACATGCCACATCCATTCATCCACTTAACAGAGAGATATTTACTCCACAAGACATAAATCCTCCTAAATTATCAAGTAATAGTCCTTTTAAAAATAACGAATGAAACTTGGTTCAAAGTGAGCCCTTGTGTGTTTCTATTTATAATTCTATGCAAGGTTTCTCAACCTTTTGTTTAAAATGAAATCAAAACTAGTTGTAGAGGGATTCAGGTTGGCTTGCTTTGCTTTTAATAAGTTCTCAGCCATACCTTTGCTTCAGGCATTTTGAGTAAGTTATTTTTGTGTGACCAATAACAATGAATGTAGAGCTTGGGATTATAACAGATGACTTATGAGAAGTACGCACGCTATGGGAGGTGAGCAAGTAGCAATAAGAAATTTCCTTTGATAAAGTCATGTTAATTTTACCTTTAACACTTGATCTTTTGTGCTTTATTAGTATGTGATCAATCATCTCTTTAGAATTTGCAAAGTAAATTAAATACAGTTGAAGAAGTGTGGAAGAGTGCCTTTTTAAATTTGGAAATAATTTTGTTTTAATTTGGAAATAATTTAAGTGTATTGTCATGGCCATGCAGTTTAGATAATAATGTAAAGATCTGAGCAAACACTTTTAACTACCTTTGCTAACATTTGCCTGTGGTGAATTATTTAAGGTGTGGTAAAAAGGAGAAAAAATTTATGTATCTCAGCAATCCTGTACCCATGGTTGTCAGCAGGTACATTGTTCCTATTCACTGGTATAAATTGTGTCTCCCCTACATGGAGCAATGTACAGTCTATTTAAGTACATATGCACTATAATTAAATTAATGGTTATTTAAACCTTTGTTACGCATAACTAGCATGTACTGTGTATTTCCCTCACTTCATTTTAAGATTTGTATTGCTTATTAAATGACTTAAATATCAATTTTAGAAGGAAATAGTCTTATGAATCTGGTATTGCTGTTCACAGTTCTCTTATTTTCTAAAAATATATGTCCCAGTATTTCTAAAATGCAGAACAAGCAACATTCAGGCATTAATGATTCCTGTAGCCACTAGATGGCGCACAACAACCAGCTGTTGGGTTTCGTCTGGGAGGGTCTGAAAGTCAAGGAGAGCGCTCTGGTGGCATGGGGGCCAGAACATAATGATCAGTGTCCTGTGAAATATGGCCATTTAATGATGAACAAAGAAAAGAAAATATAAAGATAAATTTAAAGCCAGATTTTTAAAGGAGTAATTAACATATAAAAATATTCAGTTTCGAATGACTCTGGGAGTATTTTATATTCTAGCTTGATACCCTGCTCTTCAAAAATCCGTGGGGCTTATTCAGTCACTGTTGTCTAATATTCATTTTAATCCCTATGTAACGTATGCCTAAATTTTAAAAATTAGTAACTGTCAAGCAAACACATTTCTTATCTCTCTGGCTTCATCAAAAGTGAGTCCTATCTGAATGTTACACTTCAAAGACGTTAACTCATATGGATGCTTTAAAATTATTAACCACCTGTGATTT